AGGCTCAAAAATCTCTTCATCTGGTCTGGTTCTGGTCAACTCAATGTGGGCTGCCTCACTCAGCCTCCACAGGGTGCCGATTGGTCGCCTTGCCTTTAGACCATGGGCTCACAACTACCATCAAGCCTAGCCCCCTCTGCTAGATCATGAACTTTAGACCAATCAACCCGCTTCTCTTCTTCTCTTTTTTTTTCTACCTGTAAACCAAATTCACAGGTGTCAGTGGCCAAACTCAACCGGTCTCTTTATTGTTGCATTTCTCCCACTTCCACTCAACAAGTAGATCCAGGTGGTCACCTAGCAAGCATCTCAGCTTTCCCACAGGCTCCCTTTAACGTTCAGTCCCAGAGAGGGACCATATCCCTCTTTGTTGTGAGGGTTTGCCTGTGTAATGTAGGATGTCCAGGAGCACCGTTGGCTAATACTAATAGCACCCCTCTCATTATTGACAGTCAAAAATGTCTACAGAAATTGCCAAATGTCCCACTCACTCATTGCCATAAGTCGATGCCAACTCATAGTGACCGTCTAGGGCAGGGTAGAACTCTCCCCATGAGTTTCCAAAACTATTAACTTTTCATAGCAGTAGAAAGCCCCCTCGTTCTCCTGAGGACTGGATACTGGTTTCAAACTTCAGACCTTCAGGATCGCTAAGATCCACTACAACACCAAAGCTCCCTGAGAATTATTGTCATGAAATGCTTAGAGTAGTGCCTGGCCTATATGAAGAGCTCAAATATCGTTGTTTTTATTTTTACTAGCCACTTTATCTTCACTAGCATGTTTTTCTGCCGGGATTGTTGAGTTATACTTATGGAACAGATTGTCAGCTTATCCAGGATAAATTTTTTTGTGAGGTCGTAGTTTTTTGTTTTATTTTATCTAGTGGTACAAGGAACAGCAGGGCAAAGTGTGTAGGTTGTCTATTAGTACTACATAGTAGACTCACTTGAATCTTGAATGTGGAGGGAAGTGAACCTAGAAGAGGTCTGACTTCCTAGGATAAATTAGGTCTTTTTTCCCCCCATTCTGTGCTGTATTTATCTTTGGGGCATCCGTTAAAATTTTTTATTAGTCAATGGACAGTTTTAAATTTGTACCTTTCTCAGCCAGTATAGTCTCTTCCTGAGGCGTGTAGACTAGGCGTCTTATTCATGACTAAGTCATCAATACTTAACAGGGTAACAGTAGATGTTTAGTAAATTTCATCTTGATTGAATTCTCTGCTCAAGTTTCGTACAAATTTTGTGCCCTCTTAAAATCCTCTTGAATTCTGTTTTAACTATATTTGGATAATCTCTGATACAGCATAAAATTAATGACATCTTAGAATTAAAGAAATGGAATAAATCCATTTATTGCCCACATTTGTCAGCTAAGTTGCTGAAGGACTCCTTTATCATTGAGTTGATGCCAACTCATAGCAACCCTATAGGACAGGGTAGAACTGCCCTGTGAGTTTCTGATGGTACTGTTTACAGGAATAGAGAGCCAAGTCTTGCTCCCTCAGAGTTCCAAACTGCTGCTGACCTTGCAGATCCCAGCCCAATGTTGAACCACTGACAGGACTCCCAGTTGTTTAAGTAGCTTTTATGTATACACCAGCCAAGCCCTGGATAAAGTATAATACTAACAGTGACCTTCAGTCAGCTTAAACATTATTTATTCCCTCAGAAGCTTTCTTTTTTTTTTTTTTTTAATCATTTTAATGATTAAATTTTAATCATTTTATTGGGGGCTCATAGAACTCTTATCACAATTCATCTATCCATTTATTTTTCAAACACATTTGTACATTTGTTGCCATCATCATTCTCAAGACATTTGCTTTCTACTTGAGCCCTTGGTATCAGCTCCTCACTTTTTCCCCTCCCACCCCCTCTGTGAACCCTTGACAATTTATAAATTATTATTTTGTCATACACTGTCTGATGTCTCCCTTCACCCACTTTTCTGTTGTGCGCCACCAGGGAGGGGGTTTTATGTAGATCCTTGTAATCCATTCCCCCTTTCCTCCCCACCTTCGCCCCACCCTCCTGGTGTCACCACTCTCAGCACTGGTCCTGAGGGGTTCATCTGTCCTGGATTCCCTGTGTTTCCAGTTCTTATCTGTACCAGTGTACATCCTCTGGTCTAGCCAGACTTGCAAGGTAGAATTCGGATCATGATAGTAGGGGGCAGGAAGCATTAAAGGACTAGAGGAAAGTATGTTTCATCATTGCTACACTGCACCCTGACTAGCTCGTCTCCTCCCCGTGACCCTTCTTGTAAGGGGATGCCCAGTTGCCCACAGATGGGCTTTGGTTCCCCAATCTGCACTCCCCCTCATTCATAATGATAGGATTTTTAGTTCTTTGATGCCTGATACCAGATCCCTTCGACACCTCGTGATCACACAGGCTGGTGTGCTTCTTCCATGTGGGCTTTGTTGCTTCTGAGCTAGATGGCCACTTGTTTACCTTCAAGCCTTTAAGACCCGAGATGCTATATATTTTGATAGCTGGGTACCATCAGCTTTCTTCACCACATTTGCCCATGCATCTATTTGTCTTCAGTGATCATATTGGGAAGGTAAGCACTTAGTGATATGATTTTTTGTTCTTTGATGCCTGATAACCTGATCCCTTCGACACCTCGGGATCGCACAGGCTGGTGTGCTTCTTCCACATGGGCTTTGTTGCTTCTGAGCTAAATGGCTGCTTGTTTACCTTCAACCCGTTCAGAAGCCTTTCTTGACACTTGCCTCCAAAAAGATAACTTAAACATATTATGAAATGTTTTTTTCTTTTTGGAACTTTTTTTCTAGGTGTTTCCCTAGCCATCTGTTCTTATCTTTTTTCCCCTTTTTACCACATTTTTTACTTTTTTCAGTTATTTGTCTTCTTGTTATGTGGTAATAAGTTAATGAGAACTGGGATTTTCTGATGTCTTGGTACCACTGTATGTATGTACTCATTACTTCACATAGCATCTGAGTGAAAATAAAGCTTTGTAGTTAAACGCAACTGAAAAGTTACTAGAAATAATGTCAACTATGTCTTAAAATAATAATTTTAAAATTTAAAATAAACTTCCAACAAGTGATTTCACATGCTTTGCAGTTTGGATCAAAATCTTTTTTTTTTAAATCAGTACCAAAGTACTTCTTTTGAAAATAATTGTCAGTAATTATTACTTGTCAAGTGTAACATCAGGTTTTATTGTATACAACAACAAAAGTAAGTATTGTTGGGCTTTTTGAAAATTTATCTGTAAATGTTTAAAACATAGGCTCATAAATGTAAATTAGTTTTTATAAGTTACAAGTTGATTGTAACTTATTACTCAACAAACCACACAGTGGCACTGCTGGATCATGTTTTGTTTTGTTTTTATTATTACATTAATAAATTTTACCTGTTTTCCTTTTTTAGCTATAATTCATGGACTGTCCAGTCTAACAGCTTACCAATTGAGAACGATATACATATGCCAGTTTTTAACAAGAATTGCTTCAGGAAAAAACCTTGGTAAGTATATTTTTTTATCATATGCTTCCTTTTGTGATGCATATACTTTGTATATGCGTGTGTAATGCATAGCTAAAAAAAGTAAGAGAAATATAGTCCCTGTCTTTTGCGAGCAGTCATCCTAAAATTCCAGCGTACATCAGAATGACCCAGAGGGCTTTTTAAAACACAGAAATACCTCATTTCCACTCAGATTTCTGATTCAGTAGGATGGGAGTACAGCCTGGAATTCACGTTTCCAGTAAGTTACCAGGTAATCTGATGTGGCTTTTGTGGAACGTACTGTATGTCAGTTAAAATTTGACGATACGGTGGCTTTGTAGTATCTCTTACTATCATATACACTCCATTTTAACTGGCAGCTATAATATTAAAAATATTTTACTTGAACTTAATACTATTTTAGAGAGCATGATTTGTATCTGTATCTCTTCTGTGACCATATAGTTTATTCTAAAGGATTCTGAAGGACAAGCCTGGTTTATTTGATGTTTCATTGATGAAAAAGCCCAATGGCTGCTGAGAGGCAAGCAGTTTGAACACACCAACTGGAAACTTGTTCCTCTAGATATTGACAATTTAGTAATCTCCATGGGGTAGCTCTAATCTGTAGAGTCACTGTGAGCTGGGATTTAACTTGACAGCACACAGAAATACCAACAATGATGTAAATAACCTTTTTTGTTGGGTTTTATCATTTGCAAAGTACTTTCCTAAGATTAGCCTGATAGACGTACTTACATGGAAATGCTTCCTTATACATGTGTACACAAAATCCCCAAGGATCCCTGGTGGTATAGTGGTTAAGTGTTGGGCTATTATATGTGCTGTTGGCCGTTGGACACCACCAGAAGCTACACGGGAGAAAGACTGGGCTTTCTACTCCTGTAAACAGTGAACAGTCTCAGAAATGCACAGGGGGTTGCAATGAGTCAGCGTCAACTTGATGGCAGTGAGACACAAAATTCCAGCTTCTAAGCACCAGTTATGACTTTCACTAATCCAGCTCTATAGCTCTTGTAGCCTGCCTTATGTTGTGGGTGAGGCTAGGCCTGGATATAGTGCCAGGACTAATTGGAGCAGACTAGAGCCAGTGTAGATAAGGAAAGAGGTGGGCCTAATACTTAGGAACAAAAGGAACTGATGTTAACACAATGCAAGAATTTCAGGCCATGCAGAATATACTTGTCAGCATTAAGAGAGCTGAGTGCCTTTGGGCTAACGCTTACTGGAGGAGTAAGAAACAACCAATAATTTATTTCACATCTTTCTTTTAAAAAAGCATTTACACTTTTAAAAAAATGGAACGAAGTGGGATTTCCTCCTAAATAATGTTTTTAGAGCTACTAAAAACTTGTATTTAAAGAATAGTTGATAAAAATATTCCTTTGGATTGTACAAGAAGAGAGAGCACAGGGCCCACTTCATAAGACATGGTAGACAAACAATCTGACTTGGCTTCTTTTTCTCTTGCTTCATCGGAGGCTGGACTTGCCTCAATTTTCCTCTCTCCATTTTTGGCAGGTAAATAAATCTTCAGTTGCATGGTTAGCTATGACAACCTGTTTTCTTTCTCTTTCCTCCTTCTCCTTTTACTTGCACCTTTTTGTTTGAAGATTTATTTCTTCCTGCTGCCTTTTTTGACTTGGACTATATTCCACCATGCCATTTTTGCAGTGGGTGTCAGAAGGAGGATCCTTGGTTGTGGCTTTAGACCAGTGGTTCTCAACCTGTGGGTCGCGACCCTTTGGGCGTCCAACGACCCTTTCACAGGAGTTGCCCGATTCATAACAGTAGCAAAATTTGTTATGAAGTAGCAATGAAAATAATGTTGTGGTTGGGGGTCACCACAACATGAGGAACTGTATGAAAGGGTTGCGGCATTAGGAAGATTGAGAACCACTGCACTAGATTCAAGGAAATTGGAGACTTTCTTTGTCAGAGATGTTCGCTTGTAGGGAAGAGAGAAGCTGCATTGGAGTCCTTTGGGTAAATATCAGATGAGTGAAAAAAGATGACTGATAGCCAGGATCTTTTGATTCCTTCCAGCCTGACCAAGGCCATATACATATGAATGGGGAGATAGTCAAGGTGTGGCGAAGATGCAGTTGAGAATTTTGCAAATAGGTTGTGTTTATTTGAATGTCCTACATCTACTGAATAGTTCTCCTACCTTGTGCTGGAAATTAGGGGGCCTTGGCGATGTATTGGCTATGTGTTTGGCTACTAGCCACAAGGTCAGTAGTTTGAAACCACCAGCTGCTCCAAAGAAGAAAGACAAGGCTCTCTACTCCCATAAAGAGTTACAGTCTTGGAAAACCAGAGGCAATTTTATCCTGTCCTATAGGGTCACCTTGAATCACATTTGACAGGTTGCCAGTGTTTTGCTTTGGTTATGGTTCATTATAAGTTCAGAATTAGGTCCTTGCACTTAAAACATCCATTCAGTAAACAATAGGCATACATAAAGAAGGGTGTTAAATATTGTGATTTGTGTGTAATGTAGTAAGGAATCGGGAGCCAGTGTGCATCTTTAATCAGAATAAGCTAATTAAGATTGTTATAGAAAGTGGAACAGTGCAAATAATACCATTAAATATTCACATAAATCCTATGAGGTAGTTTCCCTGCTTTTTTTAGGTGTGAAGACAGAAATAGCTTTTTACACTATTTTGCAATTGGAGAAATAGGTGGTGAGAAAGGAAAGGAGTAAGCAGCACTCTTGAGAGTCTCAAGTTTAGTTATTGGCAGAGCGTGGGCAAAGAAACAATTTCTAGAAAAGTCCTTCACAGTTGTCCATAAAATATATAACAAAGATCCCAGAGTATATGTAAAATATCAGATTTCAATATCAATGCACCAGTTTATGCTCCATCCATGTGTTTACTCCAAAGCAATAAACTATTTAAGAATTCTGTGACACTTTGTAGTAAATAATTTCATTTTAACTTTTTAGTCCTTATGATCAATACCTGAGCAAAAAAAAAATCCCAAGTGTTTTATAGTATTATTCTTCGCATTAGTTTATTTTAAAAACTAATGTTAATGAGGAAGGATGTTAATTTATAAAATGAAATTATTTCTCTAAACTGGCATGTACTATAAAGTGCCTGACCTAGACTGTGCATTTAGTAAATATTTAAATGAATGGTTGGTTTGGGTGTTTTCTTTCTTTTTAATATGATGAAAAGGAGGCTCTATTTCATTCTGTTAGTTATTTCATTCTTTTTAAGGTGCACAGTTTGAAAGTGATGAACAGATTACACCCTTGGAATCAGCCCTGAATATTTGGAATTCAATTGAAAAGGAACATGACAAACTTCATGAAGAAATAAAGAATCTAATAGAAGTTCAGGTATGATTATTTGCGCTTATAACTATTTGTGTAGGAAAAATATATATCTAACATGTAAAAGGAATGTAATCTTTTTCAGAAATAAAATTTTGGTTTGTAGTCCTGACATAAAACTAATGATTGCTACCTAAGTGTATGTTACCAACTTTCAGGAAATAAAGGTCATCTAGCATTAAAATTCAGTATTTTGTACTCCCCTAAATCTCTCTTTAAATATTATAAATGCAAAAAAAAAAGGCAATGAAGGAGACATATCTGAACTACTGGCTTCTCTATTGGCAGAAGGCAGAGAGGTCAGACAAGCTTCCGTGCCCCATCCTTCTTTTACTATTTTACCACCAACCATTCTTCCCACACTACTTTACTTCTATGCTGCATTGGATCATTCATTGCATCGGCCACAGAATTCACAGGCACTACTCAAGGTTAAAGGGGTGTATTAGGGAAGGTAATAGGTTACAGGTAAGAATCAGCGAACAATAATCCGGCTCCTCAACCAGCTGCTAAAGTCTGTCTGTGTTCCTCTCTCTTTCAGGCTATAGCTGTGTGTATGGAAAATGGCAATTTTAAGGAAGCAGAAGAAACCTTTGAAAGAATATTCGATGATCAAAGTTCATGTTCGGTAATTGTTTAGAATCAGAGTTTAAGAACTGTTTATATTGAACGAGGACAATTGAAATGAAATTGGGATGGTGAGGGGAAGGAATCTTAAACAATATAGACATTGTGGTCCTTTAGAATGATAATGAATCACATGAGATTTTACATTTTCTACTAGCACATTTAAGATGCAAAAGAAGCAAGTGAAATTAATTTTATTAATGATTGAAATTTATTTTAATAATGTTTTATTTTAACCAGAGATCCTAAACCATTTTTAGCAATCAGTAAAAATTGAGGTATTTTACATTCCCTTTGTTTGTACTAAGGAGCTCTGGTGTCTTAGTTACATGTTGGGCTACTGACGACAAGGTCAGTGGTTTAAAACCACCTACCACTCTGCAGGAGAATGAGGCTGCCCAACCCTGTAAAGATTTTTCCAGTCTCCGAAAACCACAAGGGCAGTTCTACCTTGTCCTATCGGGTTGCCATGAATCAGACTTTTCTCAATGGCAGTGAATTTTTTGTACTAGTCAAACTCTAGTGCTTAATGCTTACAGTTCCTATAAGTTCAACTAGCCATATTTCAAGGGCTCATTAGCCACATGTGACTAAGTGACTGCCCTATTTGACAACACATCTATAGAAGAAGGTGTGATGACAGACTTATTTTTTAAGAGGATTCTCAAGTGATCGTTGGTAATTTCTTTTGTGGTAAATGTTAGTGGCAGAACTTGAGTTTTAGCTGTTTCTGCTCCTGTAAAAATTTAGTTTGGGAAACCCACACGAGCAAGTCCTCTTGTAGTTAAATAACCCATATTAACTCTTTAAACTTTGCACATTTTGAAGCCATGTAACTTAAAGAAAAACTAAACAAAACAAAAAAACCCTGCGATACAAGATCCACTGAGATTTTTTCACTGCTGGAATGAAAGCCTGAGCGGTAGAATTTTTTTAAATGCTTATAACTTATTGTCCAGCAAGCATTGAAAGAAGTATTGTTCAAAGAAAATGTGCTATGTGCAGAGAAATATATAGAAGTGTTTAGAATAATATTGCAGTAATAAAGAATGTCTGCATGCCCTTAAGATAGGAGAACAATTACTTTTTTGTTCAAAGGAATACTCAGTAACAAAATCACTACTTCAATAAGTAAATCACGGATAAATCTCATAAGCATACAGGTGAGTTAAAAGTAAGTCTCAGAAAAACGCACATATTGACACCATTTTGTATAAAATGTTAAAATGCTAACCAACACCACATTATTTATGGATGCCATATATATAATGTTAGCTTAAATGACCTCTAATGAGAAATCTACACTCAGGATGATGATTACCCAGAATAGAGGAAAGGATGCAATCAGATTGTGGTAATAAATGACTATTAATAATATTGTGTTCTTATAATGGGTTAGTGGACACTCAGGATCATAATATCCATTTATGTGTGCCTGAAATACAGAGGTACATATTTATAAAAATTGGGGAACAGGAACAAAGAATCATCAATGGACCATTTAAAATATAGAATTAAAAAAAATAGTTCATTGGTTTCTGAATTAGATTTTTAGTAAAAAAATTTTTTTCAGTGAATATAATTTAAATTTTATTTATGTGCATTGTGTGGCTATGTATTTATTCTATGTTGGTTTTTCTTTTAGCCTTTAAAAAGAAAATTACTTGCGATTATCTCTCAGAAAGATGCATTCCATTCCATCTTTCAACACTTGAGCTACAACCACATGATGGAGAAAATTAAGAATTATGTGAATCATGTGCTTATTGAGAAATCACCAACTTTTCTAATGAAGGTATAAATAATGATTTTCATTGAAAATGCTCAGGGAAAATAGTTGTAACAAAGTATTTGAAATATAAATATTCTAGAACCAACTTAAACTAATCAGAATTTTATTTTGGTATGTCTTTTAAAAGAATGTACTGAAATATTAAGATTAGTAAATCTTAAGATTCAGAGTCTGGTTTATAGTTTTATAACTTTTCAAAATAAAAATTGAGATTTTAAAAGTAAATTGTGCTGGAGAATTACTTAGAATGCATGACAAAAATCAATGAAAACTTTAAGTAAATTTTAGGAAAGTTAAAATTGAGGGATCTTTAATCAAAACTGTTATAACATTTTTTCTCACCTAAAAGTTTTTAAATCCGTACGTAATTATCGTGGAACATTTTGACTCATATGAGGCAGCTTAATGTAAAATGTGGACATTTTTTGTCAGGGGTGTAAGGCAGCGTTTTATTTTCAGTGTTCTTAGAAGCCAAGTGCGTTTGCCAGGAAAAAGCTCCTCCAGGAGGCTTGTAAAACCAGTGCGATAGCAAGGTAGCTCCTGGCAGCGCCGTTGTTCCTGGGTACTCGTTAAGATAGCAGAAAATTACTCCTTACCGGCCTATGACCAGATATCTTAAAAAGTTAACAAATTAATTTGTGCTATTTATTTTAAATGGCTTTATTACCATCTCTCACTTTTTTTTAAGGCAGCAGCAAAAGTAGTGGAAAGTAAGAGAGCAAGAACATTGAATTCTCGAGATAAACCTAATAGTAGTGATTCTGAAGTGGAAACTCCGCCTAATTTAGATATAAGCGAAAGGTTAGTAAATTCACTAAATGGTTTTGTGTGTGTGTCTCATCAATGTACTATGTTTATAGAAAAGTGATTCTCATGACTATTGTTATTAGAGATTTATTGAAGAGTTTTAGCTTGCTAATTTATTTACATTTGGATATATGGAGTTACTTCATGACTGAAGCAAAAGTATAGAAAGTGCCATTTAAGTAGCATAAGATCATTGTACTTACCATTCTTTTTTTAATCATTTTATTGGGGTCTTGCACAACTCTTAATCACAATCCATACATACATCCATTGTGTCAAGCACATTTGTACATTTGCTACCATCATCATTCTCAAAGCATTTGCTTTCCACCTGAGCCCCTGGTATCAGCTCCTCATTTTTTCCCCTCCCTCCTTGCTCCCCTCTTCCTCATGAATCCTTGATAATTTATAAATTATTATTATTTTGTCATATCTTACACTGTCCGATGTCTCCCTTTACCCACTTTTCTACTTAGCCGTCTTTTTAGAGAGAGAGAGAGAGTGTGTGTGTGTGTGTGTGTGTTTTTGTAAAAGCTCTGTAGTGGGCTGGTTCTTAGATCCCACATGCACTAATTATGTGATTTCCTCACTGTAGTGAGAGCTAGTCTACTATGTAAAAATCTTTTCATGTCTTCTGGAGACAAACTAACCATTTCTTCTTCCGGTGTGAACTGAGAATAGTGTTTTGCTCCAGTGCTGGAAGAAAACGGGCTGCGTCAGGCATGAATTTGAGACAATCGTTCAGTCTCAAATGATTTCTTTTTGGGGGATTTTCAGGTGTGATTTTTACAGAACTGATTTTTACCTCCTGTTCCCAACTTTACAAACTAACCTTCCTGTGGGAGATGCAACTCCACCATTAAAAGCCTTCTTTTCTATTGATCCACGGTTCATTCCCTTCATTTTCCCATCCTTATCCAAAGTCCAAATAGTCAAATCCCTATGTTCTCTGGATGAGTCTGTTTGGCAATGAATATATGTTACTGGTTTCATTTGGGAAAGAGACTTCATGTTGGCTACATAATTGAGGGTGAGGATTGGGATCCAAGGTGAAATGTGCACCTTAGAGCTGAGACTCAGTATCTTTTTTTTT